GTCTCAGGGAGTCATCAGGGTGAGGCCAGCAGAGTTTTCCAGGACCTAACAGAACAAGATTTGGCCATGTGAAGGGAAGGCTCTGCACCATTTGGGCCTGTAAAGAAAAGAGCGCGTGGCTCTTTCCCATCTTAGAGCCACACAACTCAGTCTGTCCCAGATTCTGCCAGGAGCCCGACCTCAGCAGGGTGGGAATATTGGTATTTGAGAGAGTGGACACTGCCAGTTGGGTCCAGGGGAAGTTGGGGAGTGTGGCCTTCCTTCAAAACCACACAACTCAGACTCACCTGGATCCTGCCCAGACAATAGCAGGGTAGAGCCACCAAAAGTCAAGAAGGTGGGCCTGCTGGGAGCTTAGAGATTGGGGCAAGTAAATCTACCATAAGGGGGTGGCACCAGTCAGGGTCACGGGAAAGGGGAACAAATGGCTCTTGCCCCTGAGCCACACCACTGAGTCACTGACACCCCTTGAGTCTTCCCAGATCTCTAGACCCCAACCTTAGGCTGCTGACTCTTTAGCAGGGCAGAAACTCCACAGGGTAGGTCAACATATAGTCCAGTGATTGGGGCAATTGCTTTGCCCCAACCTGATAATGGGTGGAGGGGCTTGCTCCACCCAAGAACAACGGTGTCTACTTTGTGGAAGAGTAACTCAGCACAGGGTGTTCCAGCCTTTGTCCCTTCAGTTCTCTCCCCAGAGTCACAAACCCCACAAACTCTCTCCCACAACTGTACTCTGCTTTGCCTTCCCTGTGCTAGAGCCTAGGCTGAGTGGCTGTGAGTGAGATTTTGAGCATAGGACCTTTAAGAGGGTGCCTGAGTTTCTGGCAGACTCCTGTCTCTCCCTGACAGACAGAAACCCCACTGCTTTTCACAGCCAGATGTTATGGGGGTGCTTCTTCCAGGCCCTGGTTCTCTAGGCTCGGAAACCCAACTTGGGCTTGAGATCCCACACTTCACAGGAGAAACTCCGCACAGCTTCCCATCTGAGATTTCACTTTGGAACCTCAGACACCACCTACATTCCTACCCGTCTTCATGTGGCTTCTTCCGTCTGTCCTTGGTTATAAGACTCTTCTCTTCAGTTAGTGGTCAGTTCGTCATTCAGGCTGATGGCTCTATGTTATAGTTGTAATTCCAGTTTGGTTCTGGGGTGGGTGCAGCGTCTACCTACTCTGCTGTTATCTTCAATTCATACACCTCCCTTTGGTACCAGTTATTTAGTCAAAGTTATATATTAAACTGACTTTAAATTGACCCTTCAAACGTTTTATATGAAACAGTCTAGATGCAATCATCTGTTTGATGTGACATATATGTAGTGTGTATTATATAGTATACATTTAAAATATACATACACATTTTAATTTATACTCATTTGATAAAAGTGTTCACCTGTGTACCACCTAAAGTCGTCTTGAGAACCTTTATAGTTACGCATGCCACACTGCTTAAGCTTTGACTAAGGCAAGATCATAGAGCCTGTAATAAAATCTGACACATAACAAATCTTCTGCAAACGCTTTTCCCTTTCTGTTAGACCAGTGGTGCATTTCGGGAGTGCAGCTCCTCTGTGTGTAATACGCTGCCAACTGCTGGGAAACTTCGGCAGAGCCAAACTACGCCTAAAGACCGGTTGTGTTAACTTTCCAATAGTCGTATTTGCTTCTGCTTTCAGACTTCTTTCTACTTTGCTTAAAATGTTTTGCGGTACTGTTTTGATTAAAAGTAAAAGCAATTATTTAATACTCTCTAAGCTTTTTTTCTGGTCCTTTTTTAAACACTTATTTTCATAACTATGGAGGTCGTCTTCTAGCTGTGAGCGCCAGAGCCACTTGGAGGGAAGCCCTTGAGTAGTGCGTAGTGCCACACCTAGTCCACATTTCCACTGCACATTCTCCCCAAACTTACTTACTACCGAGTGTGGTGGGCAGAATAATGACCCTCCAAATATGTCTACATCCTAATCCCTGGAAGCTGTGAATGTGTTATATTATGTGGCAAAGGGGAATTAAGATCACAGATGAAATTAATGTTGCTAAGTAGCTGACTAAAGTAGAGGGATTATTCTGTATTATCCAGATGGGCCCAATGTAATGCAAGGGTTTAGAAGCAGAAGAGAGAAGCAGAAGGGAGGGTCAAAATGGTTTGATGTGAGTAGGTGTGAACGCACCATAGCTGGCTTTGACAATGAAGGAGGCTATGAGCAAAAGAAGTGGAGAGCTTCTAGAAGCCAGAAAAGACAATAAAAGAAATTTTCTCCCAGGGCTTCTATAAGGAATGTAGCCCTCCCAAATTGTAGCCCAGTGAGATTCATCTTGGGCTTCTAGCCTCCAAACTGTAAGATAATAAGCTTGTATTGTGTTAAGCCATTAAGATTATGGTTATTTGTTACAGCAGAAATAGAAAATTAACAGTGAGCTTCAAATTTTGCCTAGCTTCTTGTTCTCTCATGGTCATAGGTTTGGCTCATTCATTTATTAAGTTGATTGATTTGAGAGAAAGAGAGAGAGAGAGAAGGGAAAGAGAGAGAAACTTCAGTTTGTTGTTCCACTTATTCATGCTTTCGTTGGTTGATTCCTGTGTGTCCCCAGAGCAGGGATAGGACCTGAAACTGTGGTATATCTGGAGGATGCTCTCACCGACTGAGCTAACTGACCAGGCCCTAGCTCATTCATTTTTAACAAAGTCATGCTCAACTAATTAAGGCAAACTTGGAGTGCCCTCCCTCTCAGGAGCACACCCGCATCTTTCCCATCCCTTTCTTACTCCCCCAAGCACATTACCTTTACCTTTCTTTCTCCTAAGCTCTAAGGGCCCTTCTGTTGTCTCTGTAACCTTTTGTGAAACCCCTTCTATGGGTCATTTCTGTTGTCAGTGGCAGGAACAGCACCGGGTGTTAAACCTGTGGGTTCAGACTGGACCTTGGTTCTGTAACCTTAGTTTTTGAGTTCTGGCTAAGAAAGAATTCAGAGCCAAAACTCAAACTATAGGAGAAAATATATTTAGAATATCATAGGGGTAGAAGAAGTCATCCATAGAAGAAATGGGCTTAGAAAATAAGTTACAGAGGCCAAAAAAGAACGCTTGGAGTTTAGGAGAGAGAAGGGTAAAGGTTACGTGCCTGAGGGGAAGAAGAGAGAGATTGAAAAAGCAATGGGTGCTGCTGGGGAGGAGAGTGCAGGGTCCTCCATCCTGAGGGCTTTTAAGAGAGGAGATATCAGCTGAGGTCCCGGGGGGGGGGTGGATTTCAACAGAATATTCATGAGCTTCCCAGGTGTGTCCTTTCAGGGTCTATGGTATGGAATGACTGGTTGGCACTAGGGCAGGGGGTCATTAGTCAATGCAGTTGGTCCTAAAGTCACTTGTTCTGCTGCTTTTGTTGCTTGTCTAATCCCGCAGCTGAAACATGACTGAGGCCTAGATTTATTTCATACTGGCAAGAACCTCGTTGTCCTGGGGGCTTAATGCTTAAGGCGATTCTCTGGCTCCCTTGTTTGTTCCCACGAAAGGGGTCTAAGCTGCATGACTAGCAACGTGCCAGAGAAGGAAAGGGTCAGGGGAGGACCAGAACCACATGACCAGTGATTTGAAAGGCCAGAGGGTCTAAACTGTATGACCAGCAATATACCAAGTGAGGAAAGGTCACCCAGGCGGGCAGGGTGGTGGTGGTGGTGGTGGTGGTGGCGAGGTCCTTAGTTTCCCAGTTTTGCCCATTGCTGAGCACCTGGGTCTTTCCCCCTGGTAACCTCTGTACCTGGCCCATCCTCCTTACTCTGCTTCTGTCGATCTAACTGCCTACCACACTTCTATTTTTGTGACTTTTCTAAATAAACTTTTGCTTGTATTTGGGGGTTGAGGGGAAGGCAAACTTGGAATCCTGCTTTCTTATTAAAATACCTAAATCCTAAATTTACACATCATTCTTGTTCAAAAGATTATTGATGTTAATGTCTAGTTAACGTTTTCTTTTAAAAATATTAAAAATGCTTTTTAAATGATCTCTATTTATTAAAAAAGTATAAAAGGGTTTTGGAGAATTAATATTGGTTTCAAGAATTTTTAAAAGGCTGTACAGCCCGGACACTAGATTCAAAATAAGCTCCGTCATTTACTAGCTGTGGTTTGGGAAAACTGACCTCTCTAAATATATAAAATAGAAATAAAGATGACAGGACCCATACAATTCGTTCAGGGAAAAGATTTAATGAGATAATCTATGTAATGTCCTTAGCATGGCGCTTGGTGCATGATTAACTGCATCTCATAATTAATTCCTTTATTTTTATTGTTACACTCCCTTGCTGATTTCAAAAACTTCTCTAAGAAAAAATACATCTTTCAGAACACTGGCTGTGCGGGAACCCGCACAGTTAATAATCTATCACTTCTCTTTCAATCTTAATTTCTACAGAAACAGCAGTGAGTTCTTTGAAAAATAACATTTCCCTTAGCAATACTTAACACTGAGTCAACAATTCTTTAATTGTTAAATATTCATTAACCAAAGTAATCGTTTTAAAAAAAATAGAAGGGAAAGACCATGCTAACTAAGTCCCTTAAATTTTTTCTAAAAGGAACGAGGTGAATTATCTGCTAGGCTTCTAGGGGACTCTTCTGAATTACTTCTGCTTAAAAGAAGGAGCTTGCTGCCTTTTCCAACACGCAAGGTATTTCATCTGGGCGGTGACAGGTGAGCCCCTGAGAAGCTGAGAGGCCGATCTGGGACTCGCTGCGCTCGCAGCCCTGGCAGCGCCTGCAGCGGCTGCAGCGCAGGTTGTTAAGCTTTGCTCTCGGTGCCCCTGAACCCTGGTAACCTTCCTCCGGTGCCCATCCGGGCCCCTTGGCAGGAGGATGCGCTTGGCCTGATCGGTCCAACCTGTGGGGCACCCGCAGTGCTCTGCCCCGCCTCCCGAGTCTTCCCCCCCTGAGCCAGGCCCGGACTCGCTTCCCCGGGGCTCCGGAAGGGAAGGAGGCGTGTCCGGAGCAGGCGGGAGGGAGCTATATAAAAGTGCCGGCGGAGCGCTGGCCTGAGTTTCTTTCGTCGCTTCGCGCCAGACTGGGTGTGCCTGAGGAAGCACGGGCCGCGGAAAGAGCGCTGCGCTCGGGCTATCCAATGCGTGGACTATCTGCAGCCGCTGCTCGTGCAATATGCTGGAGCTCCAGAACAGCTAAACTGAGTCGCCACACCACTGCCTGGGCTGGATCACAGCACTGTCTTTCCTTATGAAGAAGACACAAGTGAGTAGGGCACGCCCGGGAGCTAGTTAGCTAAGCTCTCCAGGAAAATCGCGCCCGGAGGCCAGCGCGTCCCCGCACGGGATGCCTGGATGTGCGGATCTGTGCCCATCCTTCCAGCCAAGAAAGTGCGGGGGAGGCGGGTGTAGCGTGTGAGGCCAAGCCATCCCGGCCGGGTGAGCCGGAGAGGACTGGAAGGTGATGAGGGGGAGCTTGTGCCAAGTTTGCAGCCGCAGCCGTTAAGTTTGGAGCTGTCAGTTGGGAACAGCAGTTCCTGTAAGGAGGAAGGATTTGCTCTTTGATCTGAGAGTTTGCTGTCACGGAAAGGCAGGTCTTTGCACAGGAGACATTTTCCCTTGGATTCCGGGAGATTACAAAACAGCTCCCCGTACGTCACGCTCACTCGCTTGCTGGCTCTGGCACTTAGAATTTTGTGCAGCCCCGAGCTGGGCGCGGGGCTCGTGGGGACGCCGGTGCAACTGTGTGAGCGAAGCTAACCCCGAGCTCCTTAGCAGTAGCGCTCCAAGGGGCAAAGAACCTGCCCAGTCCTCGGGGGAAACTTGGCCTCCTGCAGCATTTGCCGGTTTTGCAGCTCTGGGGGAGCTCTCCAGAGAGCTCTAGATAGGGTAATACCTTCACACTGCACCTACCTTTTTCCAATACAGAAGAGAAAGTTTCGTTCTTTTCCTTTTTTTAAAAAATGGGCACCTCTAATGATAGTTATTGAGGTGATTTTAGTGCTGCTAAATGTTTCACTATACACTTAACCACTTGAGTAAAGTATCGCCCAGGGTTACAATTAGATTTTTTCCTCTTGAAGCAGATAAAAGGGTCCTCATGGTACTTCTATCCATAGTTCTTTTCACTACTGCAGTTCTTACTTCTCATGTCCCCTCTTTGGAATTGTGTGTATCTTCCCGGGTTGGGTGAGGCTGCCCTTTCATCCCCCAGAGGTTCTATCGGAGATTGCAATTCCTGACATGTGTCGAAGGGGTAGGAATATGGGGAAAAAGAGAAATCAGGGATCTGTACAAATCATCAGTTCAGAATAAAGGCCCCAATGTGCAGGAAATGCTGTATTAAATGACCCGCTTCGTATTTAAAATAGACATCTAGGCATGGGAAATGTACACATTCATAATGAAGCCCAGTGCATTGGTGTAGCAAAGGTCAGGGGGAAGGGACATTGCTGGGCAGAAAGGTTTGTGTAGTTTCCAGGGCAGCAGCCAAAAAGGAAAGAAAGAGAGTGCACATTCCTCTCTTGAAAGCAGTTGGATTATAGACAGGGTACTGAAAGCCACACCTGGGGGCACCACAGTGTACTGTTGAAAGGCAAGTGCAAAAGACTGGCAACGAAAGTAAAGTTTCACTGTAATTACTTGATTTGTACAAGGTTCCTGCTTTGCAGGAATAATAAGCTAGGGCACAGAACCAATTTCTTATTCCACAGTAGCATCTGCTCACATGAATGGTAGTGGTGAGATTTGGGTGGAGAATTCTCTATCTACTAGTTCAGGAAAAAAGCCTAAACCTTCCTATTTAAACAAGAGCACTGGAGACAGATCAGGTTAATGACCAACACTCCAAAGGGGGGCAACTACTATCATGTCACTTTGAGAGTCAGTAGGATGGATGATCCTTGCACCCTTGCTTTTCAAAACAAATGTGAGCTCTGTAATCTCCTTTTTCACTTTGATTATATGGCTGTGTAAATCTGATTACATGGAATAATTCCCCTGAATACTAGGAAGAGGTCAGTCTAGCTTCAAACGCTATGGGGTTAGTAACTTAGTGCTGCTGCCCAGGGACTTTTGAGACAGCTAAGTATTTTAGAAATGTGACCTGCTCAGACCAAGTTAAAGTGCAAGCCCTTTGGGGAATCTTGCTGATGTTAAAGGACTTGCAAGCATAGGAGGGCAGTGCCCTTGTTAAATGAAGCCATTCATTGCCCTGGATCTAATGACCTTCAGAGTTTCCTTTAAGGGTACTTCTAGCAATTCTACATTCATGGCACCGAAAAGAGGACACGAGAAATTGCGTGAAATCAATAAAATAATCTGTGGAAATTGGGAGGCACATTAGATCTTCATTCATATTGCTATATTTTTCTAATCCAAAAGTTACAAGACATTTTCTGTGCAACTCTCTATGAATGGAGAGTGGCATAAGGAAGTTAGGCACTAAGAAGAATTGTTCTACAGAATCTAATGATAGCCTTGCCAGCGAGGAGTATCTATTAAATCAGTAGTTTAAATGGTCATTTATAAAGATGGCCTCAGTAGGAGAGTACTTTAAGGCAAACAGTTTTGTGCTCTCCCATTATACAAGACATAAAATTAGAATTTAATAATAGTAATAATAATAGTAAACTTTAATTATGCAGTCTTCCAAGAATCATGGGTACACCAAACCTTATGGCCTTTCAATCAAGCTAAATAAGTGTGAAAATTCCATTAGCAACTAATTGGGGTTCAATAAATGATTCTTTCATTTACTTAGCATGTGTGGTGGACTTTAGCATTAAGAAAATAATTACATGAACAATAGCTATGAGGAGCATTTGTAACAATAAACTTAACCACAAGTATACAGAAATGAATGCTTTTTTGCATTTTTTCAGATTTCTGATGGCATTTTATTCATTTTGTGTGATTTTACAGTTTGAAGTAAATTGTGGCTTAGGTTCAGAGAGAACATCTACTTCAATGTATAATCACTTATTTCAATGTAATATTCCGATAAACTCGTATATTAAATAACAGTTGGGCAGCATATTTTTAAAGACCATTTTAAAAGTGCAATCAATTTAATAGGCTGGGCACCATATGTATTGATGTACTTACATTTTAGTTTTAAGATGGTTTATGAGAGTTTTCCTTACTGCTGTCAGTTTTAAAAATATTAAGAAAAAATTTATCTTGCAGACAGTGTAGAAGAGGCTGTTTTAGGCATACATTAGTTGTCAGAGAAGCAAACAGAATGCTTGTTAGCTTTTGTTGTTCCCAGAAAATATGTCTCTTTTGTCTGCATGAACTTTGCCATCTGGGTGATAATGCAAGTTTGTAGGGGGAAAAAAACCCACATTTATGAAAAGAGTATTTTTCACCTTATCCTTAAAATCACTCAATTTGGAGTGTGTGCTTTGAATAATTCTATTTTGTGTAGCTTTTAATTGACACATTCTGGCAAGATTTTAAAACTCAAGCACTAAGTCAATTACATTTAACATAAAACAAGGAAAATAACCATATGGAAATCTGAAGGTCTGAGCCAAACCAATTAAAATTGCTAAATTTTGTTTATGTCTAACTGCTGATTTGAACATAGCAAATCGAGTCACATTTGTTGTTTAATAGCTGGTGATTGAAACCTTTCCATCACCAGAAATAACATAAAAAATCCCTGCACAAATGGCTACCCTGAATATTGGAGGTGTTATGTACGTTCTGTTGAACCCCACTTCCCCTGTGCCCTTCCCCATTCATGTCTAGGGAATACCTCAGATGTAGTTGAAAGATCCTAGGTTCTAGCTTATAAAGAGTTAGATTCTAATTCTTCTTTTACTACTGGTGAGACAAATGACCTTGGGCAAATGGTTAAATTTGTTGGGAATTCCATTTTGCAATCTGTACAGTGCTTATAAAATAGTAATAAAGAGTTTTGTCACATAGTGGTTATAATTATTAAACACGATTTTTTATACATCTTTATCTCAGCACAGTGGTGTACTGCAGCTACACTCTGAATTTATTGTTTCTGAGAGGAAAATTGCCTGCTGGCTAACTTACAGCCCAAACAAAAACTGGCTACTGTAGGTGGAGGATGTTTAACCAGCAAAGCTCAGAGACCGAGTTTTCATAAATCTCGATCTGTGTGTTCAATGCCACCCATGAGAGGCCAATGTCTGTTTATAGATAAGTTAGTACACTTCAAACTAGGAATGTATGAAAACAAAGGCTGTGTGTGACATGAGGGATGTTAAATTCTTTAGAGTGCTTCTTTATAAATGAAAATGAATGAATTAGAACTGAAAACAGAAATAGAAAATGGAGATATCGCCGCCTCTGGTTCACTTCCATAGTTCCACACTCTTGCTTTCTATCTTCCCCTTGTTCGATGCTGAGGGTTCATTTTAGTTTAGGCCGGAGCCTTGGCTTCTCTCCCTTGTGTTCTTTCACTTGCTCTTTTGAGGGAGGCCGTGCATTCATTTCTGTAGCGTGTCTTTATTGTCTTTCCCAGGCAACAAGCAGTGACATTTTTATATCCATTATGCAAGTTTGAGAGATTTTTTTTCTTTTTTCTCGATTACCTCAAGGTTCCCTTTTGTAAATTAGGGGAAGGAACTTGGAGTGATCGCGTATCTTTTTCCCTCAGTCCCTGAATGAGCAGCTGCAGGGAACTGTTTTTGGGTGTGTCACCTGTGTAGTCAGAACAATTTATGAAACAAAATGAAGCAACACCAGGATGCTTTTATAATATATGCTGTTTTCAAGGTTACTTTGTATAGACTTTGTCTCATAGAAACCATTGACTGTATTCTTAGTTATTAATAGATGCAGCCAAATGTTTTTGCTTTTTTACTTAATTATGGGCACAGAAAAAACCATTTACAGGGGCTGGGAGTTTGAGAGAATGTTATTATCATATTTCTACCCATTTCCCTAGTCCAGAAAAACAAACAAACAAACAAACAAACAAACAAACAAACAAACAAACAAACGAGATGGCGGCCCAGGGAGGGGTGTGTGCGGGGGTGGGGGGGTGCTGTGTTTTTCTTGTAATTAGGTCTCATGGTTCTTTTATTAAGATCTCAATATATGTCATCTAAAGGAAGACTATTCTTTATGTTGGTCTCTTTGTCTTTTGGCTACATTTTACTGTTTTTCTAGGCTACCACATTGACTTGGAGAGGTTTATGTCTTTGGGAAGAAGTTGGAATCTCTCCAAGCCTCAGTTTCCTAAACTGTGTAAAATGAGAAAGTAGGACTAGGTGATTTTTAAGT